TCGATTCTGTCTGATATTAGTATGGCCATCCCTGCTCTCTTTTGGTGACTATTTATATGGAATATCTTTTTCCATCCTCTCCTTTCAACTCCTTTCATCATCTGCAGATGTGCCTTTGGATCTCAAGTGAGTCTCTTATAGACAGCATATAGTTAGGTCATGTGTTTGTCCACTCTGCCAATCTCTGGCTTTTGACTGGGGAGTTAAATCTATGTACACTTAAAGTAATTACGTATTAAGGGGGACTTACTTCTGTCACTGTGCTATTTGTATTCTATATGCCTTACAGTCCCTCATTTCCTGGATTACGATCTTCTTTTGTGTTTAGTTGATTTTTTTTTTCGTAGTGAATTGTTTAAATTCCTTTCTCATTTCCTTTTGTGTGTATTATATAGCTATTTTCTTTGTGGTTACCATGGGGTTACACTGAAGATTCTAAACTTACAATGCTCTAATTTTAACATATATCTTCAATAATATACAAAAACTCTGCTCCTTCACTCTGTTCTCACCCCTTTTGGTTGTTGATGTTACAAACTATCATCTTTATACATTGTATACCCCAAAACAGACTAATAATTCTTTAAAATTCATTATTCTTCTAAGTTATGTAAAACACAAAGTGTGGAGTTACAAACCAAAGATACAGTAATACTGGTTTTCACGCTAACAATTTTTTTTCTTTATTATTATTATTTTTTATTTTTTTGAGAGAGAGAGGGAGCCCTTGCAAGAGGGGGAGAGGGAGGGAGAGAGAGACTCTTAAGCAGCACGAACTGGCCACAAGCCTCAATCCCATGCCCCTGGGATCTTGACCTGAGCCGAAATCAAGAGCCAGACAGACACTCAACCCACTGAGCCACCTAGGCACCTCCAATTATTTTTTAAATGTATTAGTCTCGTACAGAAAAAAAAAAGAGAGAATAGTAACAAGCCACTGGGGATGGGTAAATTGTGTACTAAAAGCTGAAATTGATCAAAGTTAATCATAAATTACTCTCCAGCCCTTCCCCTGGAAGTTGCAAAGCCTTCAACAAACTTCAGGGTTCCAAAATAGTTACATCAGACAGATTCTGCCCGTGCAACTCTGCTCTAGGTGGGGAGACCGAGTCCTGGTGCTTCCTAGAAGCCTCTCCCTGCACCCCCTATGATTTTAACACTTGCCTATCATTTGAATATGTCCCATCATCTCTCCCCTCCCCAGGTCAAGCTGTCAGATAAGACCACAGCCCTGGACAATAGCTTGACTGTAACCTCATGACAGACCTTGACAAAAAGACGCTCTGCTTGTCCAAACTGGAGTCAGGCTCCTCTGAGCCCTTTTTCTTTTTTCTTTTTTTTTCTTTCCTTTCCTTTCCTTTCCTTTCCTTTCCTTTCCTTTCCTTTCCTTTCCTTTTCTTTCTTTTTTAAGAGAGAGAAAGAGCAGGGGAGAGGTGCAGAGGGAGAGGGAGAGTGAGGGGGGATCCTTGCCAGGCCTGCATAGCCAAATGTAACAAGAATCCCACTAAGTCAGTTTAGCAAGAATCTCCTCACTCTTGATATCTGATCATATTCTTCATTCTCTATCCTTGATATCTGATCACCTTGGCCTGCCTTCAGCAAGAATTCCTTTTGAGTCAGTTTAGCAAGAATCCCCCTGCCCTAGCTGTCTCCTCTTGGTAACTTTTTTTCATCCACTGACCCCCTCGTTCCACTTGTTGGTTACAAATCCCAGCTATCTTTGCTGGATTTGGAGTTGAGCCCAATCTTTCTCACCTACTGATAGCCTTGACACCTATTGCAAGGGTACTGACTAAAGTCTTCCTTACTATGTTAACAAAGTGTCAGAATATTTTTTTCTTTAAAATCCTTGAGCGAGATGCACTCAGCAAAGCCATCCCCAGATTTTTGACCAATAGAAACTATGAGATAATAAATGTTTGCTGTCTCGATCCTTAAATGTTAGGGGTCATTTGCTGCACAGAGCTAGAAACTAATGCCTGATGTGGCCTGGATGCTGTGATGCATGGCCCAAATTCTCCTTCCAGGACTGGGCTCTCCTGCTTCTATTGCACAGAGTGTTGGCTGCTAGCAGTTTGCAGCTAAGTCCTTCTCCAGCTGTTGCTTTTGGTAAAGAGAGCTACCTTGCCCAAGGATATACCCCCTTCCCAGGCAGTCTGCCGCCCAAGGATTTGTCCATGCAGGAGTATAAAGGCCTGGCCCCTTGGCCTCCAATATGGGATAACCCTGAAGGATCCACTGAGATCTCTGTGACAACTGTGTCACAGTTGAACTTCTCCCTCCTCCAGCCCCCAAGTCCTGTTTCTCCCACCTTTGTACAGGTGTTATTACCAGGATCAGTCTCCAACATACCTCCTAAATCTCTGCCTCAGAGCCTGTTTTCCAGGGAACCTGACCTAAGACACTATGTGACCTTGAGCAAACCCTTTACCTTTCAAATTCTTGGCTTCTCCATCTGCAAAATGGGAGAAATACCATGATTAAATGAGTTTAAGTCCTTGGCATGGTGCCCGCCATATATATATAGTAAACACATATAGAGAGTTGCTGTTGTTATTGTTACTATCTACGAAAAGAACATCCCAAGTTCCCTGCTCCCCTCACTGCAAAAAACCAGCTAGTGCAAAGGCCTTGAGATGGCTGCAAACTTGGCAGGCTAGAGAGAGAGAGAGAGAGAGAGAGAGAGAGAGTGCAGAGGGCCCCGAGGCTAAAGGAGGAGCGTGGTAGGGGCTGAGGTCAGAGAAGCAGGCAGGGCCCTGCTGGGCCCATGTGGGCCTTGTAGAGAGTTACAATTTAAATCTAAGTGAGGTGGGAAGCCATGGCAGAGTGAGAGCAAAGAAATTACACCAGTTGATGTGTGGTTCTAAAAGCTCAGTCTGGCTGTGGGGAGAAGCAGGAAAACAACAGCAGCGAGAAGCAGGGAAGACGAGTAATGATGTTCGTGAAGGGCAGGGAAGGCGCCAGGACAGGTTTTGATGGGAAAGTCACTGCCCCACTAGATGGAAGGGGGAAGGAGAGAGAAATTAAGGATGTGTCTTAGGTTTTGGCTGGAGAAAAATGGGCGGTTGGTAATATCTATTCAGATGAGGAAAAGCAAGAGAAGAGCAGGTTTGGGTAAAGGGAGGGACAATTGGGAGTTCTGTTTGTAACATGTTAAGTTTGAAATGCCTATTAGCTATCCAAGTGAGATGTCAAAGCAGTCATTGGATGTGTGTGTGTGTGTGTGTTTGTGTGTGTGTGTGTGTGTGTGTGTTTTAATTTTCTTTAAGTTTATTTATCTATTTTGAGAGAGAGAGAGGGAAAGAGAATGAGCAACGAAGGGGCAGAAGGAGAGGGAAAGACAGAATCCCAAGTGGGCTCTGAACTGTCAGCCCTGATGTGGGACTTAATTGCACAAACTCAACCGTGAGATCATGACCTGAGCCGAAATCAAGAGTCGGACCCTTAACAGACTGAGCCACCCAGGCTCCCCTGGATGTATCTCTGTGTCCTCTTTTGACTAAGCCATACTGCATGTAAGAAGGCTAGGAAGTTATAAATTAATATGTCCCGGGACAGACAGCTGATTCCTTTCGGAGACAAGATTCGGGTTATTTGCCCTATTCACTAACTAACTAACTAACTAACTAACACATTATCCATATTTTCTTCTTCTCATAGCCATTAATAGAGAAAACGCCATATGGCATTGCAACTAGATAGAGGTTAAGACCTGGCCCATAGATGCCCCACAAGTCATGACTTTAATATGCAGCATTTCATGGACTGGTAATAACCTGGCCAGGGCTAAGACAGAAATTGCCAGAAAGAGGCTCACTTTGCCTCCCAGCATGCAGTTAGGTATAGGCGGAGGTGAAGCATCTTGCTCAGTAGATGACACCCTGGAGGCACACAGTATGTGTCAACTTCCTACTCCAGAGCCTAACTGGGACAACCACCGTCTTCTTGGTATAGCCCCTGCCATGCTGTAATGACTCAGATATGAAATTTAACTTCCTCGAACCATAACCACTTATGGTAGAGGAAGGGCCTTCTCACCTAGGCTTCACCTTTTGGCAATAATTCTTTTTTTTTTTTTTTAATGTTTTTACTTATTTTTGAAGGAGAGAGAGACAGAGCATGAGCCAGGGAGGAGCAGAGAGAGAGAGGAAGACACAGAATCCAAAGCAGGCTCCAGGCTCTGAGCTGCCAGCAGAGAGCCCGACGCGGGGCTCGAACTCCCGGACCGCGAGATCATGACCTGAGCCGAAGTCAGACGCTCAACTGACTGAGCCGCCCAGGCGCCCCAATAATTCTTTTTTAAAAAATGCTTTATAGTAATCAAAATGATTTCACATAAATTAGCTCATTTGATCCATAGTCTCATAAAATAGGGGATTATCATCATTTTACAGATGAGGAGAGAAGGAACCATTTTCCTAAGGGTCTCTAAACATTTTTAATTATTAAACACAAATATCAATGGCTTCTGTATATTCTGTTTTGTCAGTGCTCCATTATTTAGTTACCCATTTTCTTATTGGCTATTTCTCAAATTAGGTTGGCCCCAATTTTGCACAGCTGAAAATACCACTGGCTGGAACATCTCATCGTGCATATACCTTTGTCTAAATCTTTGTGTCCTTAGGACCTATTACTACAAGGGGAATAACTGAACTAAAACCTTAAACCTTCCCTGTCCTGGATGTAGCTGAAGCAATATAGGGTGTTTAAAGGCCTATTTTTCCCCCCAAGGAGATAGAGCTTGTGGTAGGCCAGTCTTAGACTGTTGGCCCAACCAGTTACTAAAACTAGAAAGCAGTCATGTGTTGGGTTTTGTGGGATCTGCTGATTTTATCCAAGAACTGCATGGGTCCCTTTCCTGCAAATTCCTTCATTTTTCCTGTCACCTTGGCCCAGCCCAGCTTGGATGAAATGCTAATTTACCAAGTGTGTTACTGGATATGAAAAGAAACAGGGACAAAGGACAGGAAGATCAGCAGGAAGAAGTAGCAACAGAGTGGCTTTAGATTCATTCATTATTTTACAGCAAAGACTTCTAAAGCACCTACTAGTTGGGCCCCTGGTGGAAATTTCGCCAAAGCTGCATCACAGGGACTTTCTGGGAATGGAGCTGGAGCAGCAAAGGTGGCACTCTGGAGAGAGAAAGACGGAGAAAATGCCTTTAAGGACTTTACCACACAGTAACAGGTAATTATGACACATCACCTCTAAGATGTTTAATGGGCATCTCAAATGTGACATGTCCAAAACTGAAATCTTGATCTTCCTCCTAAACCTGTTTTTCTTTCTCCCAGACTTCCCTATTTTAATAAGCAATACAACCACTCACCTAGTTTCTCAAACCAAAAATCTAGGACCCATCCTTTATTCCTCTGTATCCTGCTGATAGGATTCCAGCCTTTCACTAAATCCTGTCCAATCTACCCACACAATGTAGAAATATCATAACTACTCTGGTGCAAGCACCATCATTTTCATCTATATAATCTCCTACCCATTTTCATCTATATAATCTCCTAATCTGTTTACCCTCATCCACTCTCAACTCTCTAATCCCTTCTCCAAAAAAGCAGCCAGACTGGTCTTTTAAACATCAGACCATACACCTCCGTGGTTGACATCCTCTGATGTTTTCCTTTTCACTTAGAATAAAATTCAAAAAATTTTCACGCCCTTCATGGCTCTGCATGTATCTGGCCCTCATCTCCTCCTATCCTCACCCTAATCCCCTCACCTGCCACACTGACCTCAGGGGCTCTGTAGCTGGCCGGTCCCTCCACTTGAATTGTCTCTATGGCGCTTCTTCAGAACTCATTTAAAATCACACCCTCAGGCTTGTTTTCCCTGGGCATCCAACCTAATATAGCCATGCGTCCCATCATCACTGCCACTTCCTAATCAGTTACACTTCTTTTTGTTTCTTCTCAGCACTTACTTCTCTAATGTCGTATTGGTGTGCTCATTGTTTACCTCTCCCACTAGGTACGTACCATTCGAGCAGGAACTTGATTTGTTCCCCATTCTATAGCACTGCCTGAAAGTGCAGGAAGCATTTAGTGTTTATTGAATGATGATGAATGCGTGTTGATCACAAATCTGTTTTATTGACTTATTCATTTGTTCCCCGTATTTCCCCCAAGTGAATGTAAACTCCGTGAAAACTGGGATCGTGTCCATTTTGTTCACTATTATATCTCCTAACGTTTGGAACAGAGCTATAGCAGTGACAAGTGCAAAGCTATGTTAAAGAAGGGCAGGGGCAACTAAACTGACCGAGGGAGCTACGGGAGTACTCACAGATAAAACTGCACCTAAACCGGGACTGAAAGAGGTGAGAACCAAAAAGACTGGAGAGAGAGAAGAGTCGCGGCAGAGGCAATCTCGCGAGATGTTGGGCAGCCAAGATGGCTTCCAACACTTGCCGCCACACTTAATATGGCGATCGGGGAAGGTTCCTGGGGGAAATCACGCGAGAGTTGTAGCACGCCTACAGTCCGTGAATTGAGCCGGGGGTGTGGAGCAGCCAAGATGGAGCCGGCAGCCGGCGGCCCCGGCCCGCTGATCATGAACAACAAACAGCCCCAGCCGCCACCACCTCCGCCACCGGCAACCGCGCAGCCTCCACCCGGAGCCCCGCGGGCCGGCGGAGGCCTCCTGCCCGGGGGCAAAGCCCGGGAGTTCAACCGCAACCAGCGCAAAGACTCGGAGGTCAGGAGCTTCGGGGGGCGAGGACGGCACCGGGCGGGCGGTTGCGAGGGGCCCGGGGCTGCTTTCGGGTTCCAGCTGGGCTTCCCAGAGGGTTGGACATGGCCCGGCGGAGGAGTTGTCATTTTACAGAGAAAGGAGCAGGAAGCAAGGCTGGCACCCCCGGAGCCGGGGGCGTGAAGCCGGGGTCCCATCCCCGAGCTCCGCCGCTCGGGAGAACCTCCCGAAGCCGGCGAGTGCTCCTTTGTTCCTCTGGGGCGGGGGCTGAGGGTGCGGCCTCGGGGCCCCAGCCCCTGGGGAAGCCGCTCCCGGTCCCAGTTCGGAGATGAGGAGTCAGTGGTCTGCGTGCGCTCCAGGGGGCGGGCGGCTGCATCCCGACCCCTAATCCTCTCTGTCCGCTGGACCTGTGGGCTTTGCAGCGCGCGGTGGGCGGCGTGTGTGGGCTGCGAAGGGAGCTCAAAACCGGACGGAGCCAATTATCACTAATGGTACTACGCGCCCGGCGTTTTCGAGTGTAGGAGGGGGTAACATTGCCTATTCACTCTGACCTTAGCTAGTACAGGTCCTGGCCCTAGTTTGACAGTGCCTGATGCGTCCGATGCTGAACTGTTAACAATCATAAATATACATTGTAAACATGCATTAGGGCTCAGCATTCCCTCTCTTGCTAGTGGGCTGTTCCTCTGGTTCCGGAGACACCGTAGTCTGGAGCTGACTAGTCTAGTCACCTCACCCGGAGTTAAAGAATTCCTCCCACTGCCTCCCATTGTAGATTTCATGAATGAAGACACACGCGTCACAGCACTTTAGGGCTTCTTAATCAGCACGTTCCCAGAGTTTTTACCGTGAGGTCTCCACCTGAGATATCTCAGGGGCTGGTCAGCAGTGAGGCGCTTATTAATGATGGGGAATTCCTCCTTGTCCAAGCGCAGTGTCCCAGGTCCTACCATAGGCGGAGGATACCATCTTTAGATAGGTGAAATCAGTTCCTCTCAAGCTTTTGTATTTTGTTGGCGAGTGCAAACCTCTGGTAAAACGTGTCAGAATTTGCCAAGTCCAAAATAGAGGTACTTTAAGTTTGAAGCGAATTATTTGAAAAAGCAATGAATCTGACTTTTTAGAAGCCTTTGCATTGTGGGGTGATAGAGGATTATGAAAGTGGTGGGGGTGAACCTGCCTTCATCAGAAGAGGAGTTTTAGTTTAATGTTTGTTTATTTTTGAGAGACAGAGCACGAATGGGGAAGGATCAGAGAGAGAGGGAGACACAGAATCGGAAGCAGGCTCCAGGCTCTGAGCCGTCAGCACAGAGCCTGAAGCCGGGCTCGAACTCACGAACCGCCAGATCATGACCTGAAGCCCAACTCGACGCTTAACCGACAGAGCCACCCAGGCGTCCCAAGAAGAGGAGTTTTAGTTTAAAACTAGCCGTGGAGGTGCCTGGGTGACTGTTGGTTGAGCAATGACTCTTGGTTTTGGCTCAGGTCATGATCCCAGGGTTGTGGGATTGAGCCCCATGTCCGGCTCCATGGTGAGTGTGGAGCTTGCTTAAGATTCTCTTTCTTTCTCTCTCTCTGCCCCTCTCCCTTGCTCGCTCTCAAAAATAAAAATAAGTAAATAAAACTAGTGATAAATTTTCCTAAGTAGCCACAAATGATCAGATAAATACCCTTCGATGCATTTAAATGTCTCTTTCTACCCTTTAATTTCCGTAGAGACTAAACACATGAAAGGCCAGTCAGTGAACACGTTCAGGCTGAGAGGCCTGTTTCAGTTCGTTTTCTTAGAGATCCTGGTGCTGTACTCAGCTCTTTGGGGCACAGCTGGAATCCGTGGGCTGGGAGCCTGAGCAATGCCTGGAGGACAGGGAGGTCGACACCTGATGAGCGCCCACTGTGTGCTACATAATTTTGATTCGGCCTTAAAAACTTTGAAGATTGGTGCGCCTGGGTGGCTCAGTCAGTTAAGTATCCGACTTCGGCTCAGGTCATGATCTCGTGGTTCGTGGGTTCGAGCCCCGCGTCAGGCTCTGTGCTAACAGCTCAGAGCCTGGAGCCTGCTTTGGACTCTGTGTCTCCCTCTCTCTCTGCCCCTCCCTGACTCATGCTCTGTCTGTCTCCTTAAAAAATAAAAATTAAAAAAAAAAAAAAAAAAACACCTTGAAGATAGATTTTTGTCATTCCCATTACATAAATGAAGAAACTGAAGCTCAGTAACTTGTGAAAGTGTACCTTCTGTTGCCTCTGATGGAGTAGAGTTCATTTTTTTTTTTTTTTCCAGTTTCTGTGGGTTTGTTATGTCACTTTGTGGGTGGTCTTGTCTTCCCAAATAGCTTGTAATTAAGCCTGAGGGCTCTACCTGTTCATTACCTCTTCTGTCTTTTGAGCACCAGGCTTCCCAGATGGTGTTTCTCCTCCTCGGTGATCACCTATCCCTGTCAGTGAAAAGATTGTCTTTGTCAGATTCTCTCCTGTGTGTGGGAGGGAGACCATTCTGTTAGGCTGCTACCTTCTCTGTCTGTCAGTTCTCACTGAAATTTGAGAGAAGGGCAGGAAAGCTGAGAGTGTCAATACGCATTTTGTCCTGAGCTGTTGATGGCCTACTAGCCAGAAAGAAGTGAGGCTTCCGGAATCTTAGCACCATGTGGAATGGTACATTCACTGCACAGAACACATAGAAGGTTTGTGTTCATTCATCTAATGAGAATTTATTTGACTATAAACTCGTCATTCATGCCCTCATTCAGGCCGGGTAGTGTGCTGGGCATTGTGGAGTCATTGGTGAGCAGACTGGTAGACAGAGTTCTCGCCCTCAGGGAACTTGCACTCTCGTGGAGGGGCAGACACAAAACAAATACACATGCCGGTATATAATGGTCAGTTGTAAGCACTCTAAGGAAAAGTGGAAGGTGCTGTGCAAGGTCTTAATCGGGAGGCCTGAGCTAGCCCAGGAGGCGAAATGTGATAAAACCTCAAAGGAGTGGAGGCGGTGGTGTCTTGTAACCCAGCAGTGTCTCTGGACGCATATGTGTTTCTTCCTTTGGAAAATACTCACAATGGTCTTTTGCGTTACTCTCTCTCCTTTTCTGAAAAGGGCTACTCCGAGTCTCCAGATCTCGAGTTTGAATATGCTGACACGGACAAGTGGGCTGCAGAGCTCTCAGGTAAAGCATGGACCTTCATGTTATTTGGGGGTGTTTTTTCCCATATTGGTCTTTAATACAATTAAGAGTGAATGTCATTTTGGAGTTCATTTTCCCCCCTGGCTAGCCTAGTAATGAGATAGATAGATAGATAGATAGATAGATAGATAGATAGATAGATAAAACATGTTAATTATGGGATTCAAGCCTTGTATAGCTCATAACTTTGGCTTTCCCCTTACTTTGGCAAAGCACCTCTGTGCGGTCAGGTCGGTTGACCATGGCCCAATCACAGATGGTCATGCTCCTTGGCCATCCGCTGCCTGCCTGGCGGTGGTGTCTCCTAGGGCGGCAGGTCATGGGGCGTGCCAACAAGCGTGCCTGCATCTGTGCACATCTGTCGCTGCCGCTCATGTGTAACATGAGCTAGCCTGAGCTGCTCCATAGTAGCCACTGGAGAGACACGTGTCCATGGTGGCAGTCAGCCTGTGGCGTGGCAGGATCGATGTGCACTGGACTGGAAATGCCTGGATTTGTCCGTAACTGGCACTCTGATTATCTGCTACAGGGGAAGTCAGCACTCTCTCTGTCGGGCCCGTCAGAGCACTAACACCCCCTTAGTAACTGGACAGGCCTGGAGTCACTGTGACCGAGGGACAGAATGGGGCTTAGAAGCAAATGCCTTACGTTCTCTGCTACATATGAGGCCCCTACAGAACGTGGACATGGAGCTGATGGGGCTTTGTTCTTGACAGAGCTTTACAGCTACACGGAAGGGCCGGAATTCCTGATGAATCGAAAATGCTTTGAGGAAGACTTCCGGATCCATGGTGAGAGGATTCCCCTCACTTCTTGGTTCCTTTGACCCAGCACCATGAGGGCCGCAGGGTTTCTCTTAGTCATCTGAGTGACTGGAGTCACCCTGGACTGACCTAAGAAACCTGCTGAACCACGGTTGTTCAAAGCCACATGTGACCTTCAGGGTGGGCCTGCTGGTGCTCTGGTGGTGGCTTTTCAGAGTGTGAGTATTGGGGGGAAATAACTTTTTGTGTGATTGAAATTGCACCAAAAATAGCAGTGTTTCAGTCTGAAAACTCAGATGCATAGAGCAGCAGTGTGGCCTTACGCTGCTGTAAGAGAGTAACTTATCTTTCTGAGTTTTCTGATATTGTGGCAGGCCTGAATTCGGGAAGTTAACATTGTACCCATTCCATTGCGAGGATTTTTCTGGGCTCCCGTGTAAGTGGTCTCTTGCCCTGCAGTAACAGACAAGAAATGGACCAAGCTGGACACCGACCAGCACCGTACGCATGCCATGAGGCTCCTGGATGGCTTGGAAGTCACTGCCAGGGAGAAAAGACTCAAGGTGGCTCGAGCAATCCTCTACGTTGCCCAAGGTACCGAGTGGGCCCCCAGGCACCCCGGCACCGCCTTGTCGGATACAGGGAGGGACTCAGCTGTGCCCCGTGTTCGCAGGCACCTTTGGGGAGTGTAGCTCAGAGGCAGAGGTGCAGTCCTGGATGCGCTACAACATCTTTCTGCTCCTGGAGGTGGGCACGTTCAATGCTTTGGTGGAGCTTCTGAATATGGAGATAGAGTGAGTTCTTCTGGGGAGCTTGAGTAGGGAAGGGGAGGCAGGGGATGAGGGGACAGAGCTTGCAGAACCAACTGCTTTTGAGAAGGGCGAATGGGCCACATGGGGCGGGGCAGGGGGGGCGGTCCCAGCTCCGTTCTGGTCACGTTGAACTGTGGCCTCTTGGGCAGTCGTAACACACGATAAAACGTTTTGTTCCCCAGCACTTGTCAGGGGAACTTTTCATCTTCCTTCCTGGAGGAGGGCCTGACTCCCCAATCTCTCCTGCAGCAACAGTGCCGCCTGCAGCAGTGCGGTGAGGAAGCCGGCCATCTCCCTGGCTGACAGCACAGACCTGAGGTGAGCAGGCAGCGAGCCTGGGCTCCCCGAGGATGAGATCGGAGCAGGGGCAGGAGGGCATCCTCAGGTGTCCTCGCCACGTGTGCACTCCTTCTGCACATGCTGACTCAGTGTGGGCCGTGGTGGCCCTGCTGAGGGCCCTCCCTAGGGGGGGCTCGGAGGAGACTCCTAAAGGAAACGTCGGGTGAAGCTGCTTACTAGAGCCGTGGCGAGGGGCGGCCTCCCGCCCGCGCTGCTGCCGAGACCTTGGCGTTGTGGTATTTTGTGTTTGGTGAAACACACGACGTGGTTCCTTGGGCTCCGCCTTCCGTGGGTAGCTCGACCCCCACCTCCTTTGTGGCGTTTTGTGGCCGCACGGGAAGTAATAGTGGCTGCTAAACAGTAAGATCACCTTCCCATTTCCGTGAGGCTTAGAATCTGTCTCTGTTTGGGAGTTTTCAGACTGGCTGTTTGTGGTGTTCCCCACGGTGGTTGGGGCACTGCCCGCTTGCTCCCGATTCCCGCGCCAGTGTGGTAATCCTTGCTTCTTGTTACCTTGACCCTGCGTTGCTTCTTCTGATCCGGCAGCTACTTCCACAGCTCGTGCCCAACTTTGTGTTTTTCCTGCTCCAGGAAGCTTAAGGCAGTAAATGCTTATGGCCGTTCTTGTTCATATTAATGCTTTCAGCAACCATTTATTTATTAAGCATCTGCTTTGAGTGAGCACTTAGCTCAGTGCCAGAATACAAAGCAGGGTAAGATCTGATTGTAACCTTAGCACTTGGGTGAGAAGGGCACACCAAGAGGGGCCCTGTGAGACTCTCAGTTCTCCCCGTGTCACAGCCGTCCGCCACCAACTAGCCTTTGTGCACGAGCTTTCCTCATGTCAGCTGGAATGTGAGGAAGCCAGGACGCCCCTTGATTCCCCATTCTTCACCATTATGACTGGCTTTTGTTCCCAGGGTACTGCTCAACATCATGTACCTGATTGTGGAGACCGTTCACCAGGAGTGTGAGGGCGATAAGGCCGAGTGGAGGACCATGCGACAGACCTTCAGGGCTGAGCTGGGTAGGGCCCTGGAGATCCTGGCGTCTTGAGGCTCTGCCCGGGAGCTGAGGCTGCTGGCCTGTGGGAGGGTCCTGTTCCTGCTGGTGGCCCTGATCACTTTGTGTTGCCTCTAGGTTCCCCCCTGTACAACAACGAACCATTTGCCATCATGCTGTTTGGGATGGTGACCAAATTTTGCAGCGGTCATGCCCCTCACTTCCCCATGAAGAAAGTCCTCTTACTTCTTTGGAAGACAGTGTTGGTGAGTACCCCCTTGAAGGGGAACTCAGCTGCTAGGGCTTGGGGCGGGAGAGAGACTTCACTGTATATCCTTTTAAATGTTGAATTGTATGAAAATCTGTATATAAATTAACATGTAATTAACTGCTTTGGTTTAAAACAAAATAGCACGCTTGACTCACTGCAGGCAAAGAGGACTTGGCCCTTGAGTCAAAATAGATTGTTGGCTCCCTGACTCCTGGAGTCATAAAACACCTTCCCCCCGCCAGACATGCTGCTTCTGAACCTGGAGTCAGTAAAGTGATTGGAGGCAGAATTAGAGCTGGTGTAACTGGTCCCCTCAGTCAGAGGTCACTTGAAGGAAGCAAGAGCAAGCCCTGGGCTAGCGCCGTCTTCCTCGGGGTGTGGTGTGGAGCGTGTTTCTGGCTAGGGAAAGAATGGCCAGCACCCTCGGCTTGGGGCCATTGTCAGCAGCCGAGCTCGCCGCCTTTCCCACCTGGACGAGAGACCTCAGCAGAGAGTGGAGCTGCCGTCAGAACTCCTCCTCCCCCTGGGGCTCACCTCCCTCTTTCCAGAGCAGGCCAACTCTGCAGAGCCAGGCTCGTGAGTTTAGGATCTCTTTAGAGTGGTGTGCACATTATATTTTGGTGAGACATCCTCTTGGTTCCTCACAAAGCCTCGCTGAAGCCAGAGACAAAAGCTGAATACCAATGGGGTTTTGGCTTCTAGGGGGATGTTGGAGTATCTAATGATGTATTCCCAATTTGAATTTGAAAGACTGGTAGGTACAGCTTTGGAAGCATGTGAGTCACGGGCTTTTCTAGAAACCTGAAAGGATAGGCTCCTGAGTTTGCTTTTTTGGCACGAAGAGTATATATCCTACGTGCAGAGCTAAACATGTGTGTGCCGGCTCAGTCAGCCCGCATATCTCCTTCCCTTGGTCTGTTTTCTCCACTCCCACGTTGGTGTCCCTGAATTCTCGTGTGAGTGGGTTTAGTCCCTGGTTCAGAGATTGATGCAGGTCATGGTGTCACGCATGCTTTCAAGCCTGACGCGGGGCTGAGGGACCCATTTGTAGATGTGTGACCCCGGCCCCGCCCCTCGTTCGCGATGCAGTGCACACTGGGAGGCTTCGAGGAGCTGCAGAGCATGAAGGCCGAGAAGCGCACCGTCCTGGGCCTTCCCCCGCTGCCTGAGGACAGCATCAAGGTGATCCGCAACATGAGGGCCGCCTCCCCGCCGGCGTCTGCCTCAGACCTGATTGAGCAGCAGCAGAAGCGGGGCCGTCGGGAGCACAAGGTGAGGGTGACCGGTGTCCCTGGTGACTCCTGAGGGTCTGAAGGGGCACATCGCGTGGCAGCCTGATCCCCGGGTGAGCGGGGTTGTTGGAAGTCCTCTCTGAGCAGCTAATCCAAATGAAGGCCTCCAGGCTGGGGGACGCTGTGTCTCTGAGTGGACACTCACCACATGGCACTCTTGAGGCACTGTGGCAAGAGAGGATTTGTCCTCTGGGCCCAACCTTGACTTCCTCTCTGGTTTTTCCACTGCCCTTGGCTCTGCCTTCCACCTTTGTGTGTTATGGCTTGTCTAGCCTCCTTGCCCTCTTATGGTTCCTTGCTTGGCACTTGTCCGATTCCCCTTCCCTCTGTTTTCAGGCACTGATAAAACAGGACAACTTGGATGCCTTCAACGAGCGGGATCCTTACAAGGCTGATGACTCTCGAGAAGAGGAAGAGGAGAATGACGATGACAACAGCCTGGAGGGGGAGACATTCCCCCTTGAGCGGGATGAAGTGATGCCTCCCCCACTGCAGCACCCTCAGACTGACAGGCTTACCTGCCCAAAGGGGCTTCCGTGGGCTCCCAAGGTCAGGTGAGCCTCAGACACCTGGAACACTCCTGGCTCTTGAAACCAGAGGCCTTCCACCCCTAAGCCTGCCCCAGGCCTGAGTCACCACACGAGGTCCTCTGCAGGGCCAGGCTGACCTTGGCTCTGGGATGAAGCTCTCTTAAAGTACCCTGTGTTGGCCTAGAGGCCTCAGGGTGCCGGCCTTGGACAGAGAGACCCGTGTATGGCTCTTGAATCAGTAATATGAATTAGCTCTTGGTTAGCCATACTAATGAAGGGAGAATAGGGAAAAATGAGAACAAGGACACTTAACTGAACCCATCTCCACTCACCCTGGGGTTGTATGTGGTTTTTAACAGAAAAATTAAAGATTAAGGAAGAGCTTTAGAATCCTAGGTAAGGTGTTTGAGATATGTATGCATAAATCAGGTGGGAAGGTACCTGGATATGAGTGGTTTCTGTTTAAAAAGTCACCAACTTAAGAAATAGGTGAGTATGTGAAAGGGCAATGCAGAAGTCACTTTTTCCATCTGAAACCCCAGTTTTCAGTGATCTGTGGATGGGATTACACGCAAGTCTTCAGAAAACGTGACATGTGCTGCTTGTCTGAGGCAGGAGAACAGGACTCATATGAAAATATCAGAAGCGTATAGATCCAGTTGTAAAAACTTTACATATTTGAGAAATTCTTTTGACAAACTTGTTATTGGTATCTGAATGACATGTGCTTTAAGTTTGATGTGTCACCTTAATTTTACAGGTTAACTGGTTACATACACATAATACACTTTCAGGTTATTGACCCAACAATGTTATGAAGGACATTAAGACAGTGTGAAGATTTTCTTTTTTCTTTTTTTTACTAAAAAGAAAAACAGTGGGGGTGCCTGGGTGGCTCAGTCGGTTAAGTGTCTGACTTCGGCTCAAGTCATGATCTTTTGGTTCATGGGTTCAAGCCCCGCATCGGACTCTGTGCTGACAGCTCAGAGTCTGGAGCCTGCTTCAGATTTTGTGTCTCCCTCTCTCTCTCTCTCTGCCCCTCCCCTGCTCATGTTCTGTCTCTCTCTCTGAAAAATGAAAACTTAAAAAAAAAAAAAAAGGGGTGGGAGACCTTTTCTTCTGGCTTTGCAGTTTCTGAAGCTTCTGTGTTTTATTAACCATGACACCTTGAAATAACTTTTAACAAAAACTTTGTTCTCTTTGGCAGAGAGAAAGACATTGAGATGTTCCTCGAGTCCAGCCGTAGCAAGTTTATTGGTTACACTCTAGGCAGGTGAGTGTGATCTGAGTTCCTTTTGAAGGAAGGTAGCGGGAGTGCACTCTCCTGGCCTCTGGTGTTTGTGGATCAAGGCGAGTTGATGTCCGGGCTCAACACAGGGCTTTCTTTATTCTGCAGTGACACGAACACAGTGGTGGGGCTGCCCAGGCCAATCCACGAAAGCATCAAGACTCTGAAACAGGTAGGTGGCCTTGGGTGAGCTTTTGGCCTACTTTGGTCCCAAGTGAGTAAAGTGAGAGCAGCCTGTTGGGATAAACCTTTTGAGATGGTTGTCTGCCTGAAGGAGCCTGGGGCGGGGGAATGGGTGGACCACAGCCATACCTTTAACACAGCTCTTTGTAAGTTTTACTTATTTTAGCTGAGTTCTTGTTGGGGACTTAACTGGGCCGTTATTAAAGATATACTTGAGGGGCGCCTGGGTGGCTCAGTCGGTTAAGCGTCCAACTTCGACTCAGGTCATGATTTCGCAGTTTGTGAGTTCAACCCCGCATCAAGCTCTGTGCTGACAGCTCAGTCTGGAGCCTGCTTCGGATTCTGTGTCTCCGCCTCTCTCTGCCCCTCCCATGCTCATGCTCTGTCTCTCTCTGTCTCTCAATAATAAATAAACATTTAAAAAAAAAAAAAAAAGATATGTTTGATAGTTGGAGTTTTAAGGGGCCTGAGTTTTCCTAGCCTTAGTTCTAAAGCATTTGAGATCGAGAAGTGGGCAGATGGAGATCAAAACACCAGCTTTACTGCTGATAGAGCTACTGGAGAGTGAGCCATAAGAACATGGTAATGATATGCATCCCAATGCTTTACTTCCAGAATTAGGCAGTCAGGGCCAGGCAGGGCTGGAACTATGCTAAGCCTGGTTGAGGAGCAGAAGAGAGCCCAGGCTTTTTTTTTTCTAAAGAGAAGAGAGAAGGAGGTTGGGCTCAGAAAGTCCTGTTCCTCCTCCCATACCTGCCAGTCAGCAAAGTGAGGAAAGAGTGTGTGGGAAGAAGCAGGGAGGCCAGGAGTTTTTACACACACGTCTCTCCACATGGGAGGAGGCATCAAGAGTGGGGAAGGGATGTCTTCCCTGACAACATGTCGGCGTGTGAATGTCGGTATGTTTTTGAAGTGTGTGTTTGAGATTTGTAGTACGAAGTGGGCCTTGTGCGGCTAGGCTTTTGAGTACTAGCTTCTGAGTACTTGAGTACTTGCTCCTGAATACTCGATTCTCCCTTTAATAGTTTTTTCTTCTGTCTTTATAGCTATCTGAAAAAACCCCTTTCCCTTAGTTTGTGTCTAATGTGTGCTTTTAGACTGGTTTTAAGTATGTGCCCACTTAGAAAATATTTCAGGATTTGAGTTAGGGATCTTTGTGGTGACTTAGCCCTCTTTGAGAAGCTCGGGTTTGAGGAAAGTTGCCTGGGGTCTTTGCCAGGGTGCGGGGCTCTGGCCAGAGACTGAGAGGCGTTCCCTCTTTCTCTCCAGCACAAGTACACGTCGATTGCAGAGGTACAGGCGCAGATGGAGGAGGAGTACCTTCGCTCTCCTCTCTCGGGGGTGAGTCTGAGGCCTTCTTCAGCCACTGGACTGCCAGCAGCTCCCAGGCACTGCTGGGCCCAGACTACAGAGCTGCTCCAGGCCCCGTCTTCAAAAAACTCCCAGTCTCGCTCCCACACCAGGGCTGGCGTATGTCTAGGGTGGGGGTCAAGAGCACAGTCACCTGCCTCTGACTCCCGGCTCCACCACTCAGTAGGTGGCAACTGAGGCAAGTTACCAAATCTCTCTGTGCTTTAGTTTCCTTGCCTGTAGAATGGGAATGATGATAGTCCCTCCTCCATAGAGCTGCAGTAAAGTTGAAGTGAGTTATTACAAGTATGGTGCCTGGCACGTGTAGCATGTGTATTCTTCAAGGTTTGCCATTGTTACCGACATCATCATTTACATCAATACTTAACAGATTCTCCTCCAGCCAGCTAGCAAGCTGGCTCAGGAGAGCAGAGTCGGGACTGGGGTTTTGTATTTGTACCTGTTGTGTTACAAGGGAGAAGAGGAAGTGGAGCAGGTACCCGCGGAAACCCTTTACCAAGGCTTGCTTCCCAGCCTGCCCCAGTACATGGTGAGTGCTCCTGCTCTTGAGGTGTTGCCTCCTCTTCGTGAGTGCTTTGGGTCTGGGACCCCTCCGGTGCCCATCAGTACCTGCCATGGGACTGCCCTCCCCACTACACTGGCCTTGAGAGGATGCCCTGCTGGTGTCAGCCCCTCCTGCTGCCCGCCCGAACACCTCCCAAAGGACCACTTCTCAGGCCTTCGGTCTGCTGCTCCCCAGATCGCGCTGCTGAAGATCCTGCTGGCTGCCGCCCCCACCTCGAAAGCCAAAACAGACTCAATCAACATCTTAGCAGATGTCCTGCCTGAGGAGATGCCGTGAGTAGTATTCCTGTGAATGGAGCAGGCTAGGGGCCGCCAAGTAGAGGAGCCAGGGGAAGCGGTTTCCTCTCGGTCCCACTCTTGCTCGGTTGTTTTCTTTTTTTTGGTTCAACTTCTCTGTAGGTTAAGTTTAGGGTGTTCCTGACTTAGAAGAAAGAAAATGTATCTATTGGATTAAATATTTGGTTTTACTGGTTGGGGAAGTGGCTTAGTGTGGTTGGCCTGGATTCTAGTGTAGACTTTGCCGCTGAGTGAACTAGGGAAAAGTCGTTTTCTCCTCTATAAAATGAATCAGGCTGTGTTCGACATTTCCTGAAACCTTCCCTCGAAAGCTGTCTGAGCAACACACCCAGGACCTGTAGGTTTAGCTTCTGGACAGTTTACCAGCCAGCAGCTGAACCTGAGCTGGGTGTAGGATTCTTTCCTATTGGCTGGCGATTTGGCATGTGGAGTATTTGCAGATATCTCTGGCTGATAGTGAAATCCTTAGGGGTTCTTTTTCCCTGAGGCACTGACCTCATCGCTTTGATGTAAGAGTACAAAACAAGATCATTTTCTGCTTTGAGAAGGACCTGGGCTTTGATCTGACCTCCTTCCTGCGTGCCAGCTCTGAGCCCGGCTCCCTGGGGGCTTGGGGGCTGGGCCCCTTGAGTCTGGCAGTGATAGTTGCGTGAGGGAGGAGGCAGGGATTGGCTACTACCAAAGGGAGTGTCCCAGAACACTAGGCCATCATGATGGTCCTTGGAAGAAGGGTCCCAGAGTCAAATATTAGATCTCCTCTTAGATTTACAGTGAGAAGTCCTGAATTAAGAAACCGATTTAACTCCGTGCTTCTTCCATTTATCTGACTCCAAAGCCCTTTTTTCTCCATAGCCTGAAACATCTCAGTGTGCTAGCGTTCCCCAGAATACACTTTGAGGAACCCAAGTTCATCTCATGGCAAAAGTGTAGGAAGATCTTGAAAAGGAGAAGTTCATTTTGGGAGGAAAAGCAGGGCAATAGGCTAAGAACGTGTTTGAGGCCCCCCAGGAAGCAAATTGTGCTGAGCTGGATTGCTTGTTGAGGTGGGTGGGAGGAGCCCTGGCCCTGATAGCAGAGATGTCCACAGGGTGGGTGGTGAGGTGGAAGCCTTTGCCTGGGGAAGGCTCAGGAATCCCATCTCTCCTGCGAGTGCCCAAAGGGTAGCGCTGCCCATGCTGGTGGCTCACCCGGAAATTGTGTTTCCAGCACCACCGTGTTGCAGAGCATGAAGCTGGGGGTGGATGTGAACCGCCACAAAGAGGTCATTGTTAAGGCCATTTCTGCTGTCCTGCTGTTGCTGCTCAAGCATTTTAAGTTGAACCACGTCTACCAGGTACCTGCGGGGCCTTCCTTTCTGTTCACTGGGCCAGGGCCTCAGGCAGCGCTGCTCCTCCAGCGAAGAAGAACGGAGGCCTTGCCCTTCAAACCCCCTTGAGCTCTGCATGAATGTTTTAAGATCCAGTCCTCCAACTAAGGCCTTTTATCACTGGAGGGAGGAGGGTGAGGTCCTAAAGGGCATGCTTATTTTTTTCTGTTGGTTTCAGTTTGAATACATGGCCCAGCACCTGGTGTTTGCCAATTGCATCCCTTTGATCCTAAAGTTCTTCAATCAAAACATCATGTCCTACATCACCGCCAAGAACAGGTGATAAGGATGAGGGATCAGGAAGGGGTAGGGATGGCCAGAGGCCCGGCTGGCCTCTCCTGAGCTCATTCAGCACCTACAAGCCAGCACTCTGCCAGACGTCAGGACACAAAGATGGACGAGTCATGGTCTCTGCTGTGGAGAATGCCAGTGTGTCAGGTCTGAGTCCAGCTAGTCTAGTGACAGGTGACTCAGTCTGTGCCTGGGTGGGAGGGTTCTCATCCTGGGCCCTCACTGTTGTGTGCTTCTTCGAGGACACTGGCCGGGCCTCCTGTTCTCTACGGAGCTCTGCCATGTTCACCATAAGGACCCATCTGCTGACTCTACCCCTGTCCCCATCGCCTGGTACCAGCTGTATTTGACGGTACACCGCAGAGTGAGCTGTGGGCCAGACGCCGTCTCCTTTAGGGGCTTGGCATACATTAATTGCCTAGAGAAATCTTCTGCCCCAGCCCCAGACTCATTGCTGTTGGGAAAGCAGTCTCTCTGAACCTTACAAGATGACACACTGGTCTCTGGTCATAGAGGGACCGTATAAGTTCTCTTGAAACGGGGATTTCCTCATCCTCTAGCTGGGAAATGAGGGGAGTGCAGGCTAGGCGGTCCTGCTTCCACTCCCAACAAGTAAGGAGGAAGGCCGGGAGCCAGCCACGTCCCAGCTGTCTCTCCAGCCCCTGGCTTTGCTCACGGTGGTCGCCCGGCTTCTCTTTCTCCCTGCAGCATCTCTGTCCTGGATTACCCTCACTGCGTGGTACATGAGCTGCCGGAACTGACTGCTGAGAGTCTGGTGAGTCACGCTGTTCCTTTGGCGTGAGGGGGGTGTTGGAGGGCCTGCCTCCCCCGATACAGAGATAGAGGGGCTCACAGATGAGGTCACCCGTTGGGTGCTGGCTTTTAAAGCACTGTAATTGCACAGAAGGGCCGGAGGAGGGACCTTGCAGAGTGGAAAGATTTGGATACAGGGAGTAGTTCATCAGGAGTGTGGTGTTCAGGGGCTGCCGGCCCAGAGCTCACCTGGTCGAGTGGTTTCCCTCTCCCACACTGGATCTCTGTGGGGCACAGCTCTGAGGGAGCCTGGGTGTGGGTGCCCCAGGTGTGGAGGCTGATGGCACAGCCCCCTCAAATCATGCTCCGTGTTTCCTGCAGAAAAATTCTAGGGGACTCCCTTATCCCTGCCAAGCTCTGGGATGGAAGTACCCTGGGCTGAGGAGAGGAGAGGGCTGCTGCTATAGACGAGGAGAGAGCTGGCAGCTCCGAGAGAGGTGTGAGGGCCTTGGAAACCACTGAGCACCCTGCAGCTGTGAGAGTTACAGGCATTCCTGGCTTTTCCCTGCAGGAAGCAGGTGACAATAACCAGTTTTGCTGGAGGAACCTCTTTTCTTGCATCAATCTGCTTCGGATCTTGAACAAGCTGACAAAATGGAAGCATTCGAGGACCATGGTGAGCTAGTACAGTCAGCAGGCACGCAACTCGGAGCTCAAGGCAGAGGGCCACACTTCGTGCTGTCCCCTCCCAGGACGTCCGTGGAGCAGGCTTGCTGCTGCCCTATACCCTTCTCACTGGACTCTTCCTGTAGCCACATCCTTGCATGTTAATGGCTGATGCCTGGCCCCTTGCTGAGTTGAACTAGAAGCTAGAAGAGGCTCGGTCATGGCCTGAAACGATTCGACACTTAGAGAAGGGATTTTACTACATTCTCTTACTCTCCATCAGTAACACAACCAGGGTTCTAGGAGTTTCCCTTAACCTTGAGTCTCAGGACGCCTTTGGGGTAGGGAGGTCCATGAATCCTCGGAGATTTTACATACATGCACATAGGAACGTTCACAGTGAGAGACTTCACGGCTTTCCTCAGATTTCACAATGACCTGTGATTTGGGCAGTGGGGCGTCCATGCCCGGGAAGCCATCTCAGTCTGGGGAAAACTGGGATGGTTGGTTACCCTTAACCCTAGAAGGTGGTAGTGCAGGAGTTTTTCTCTGCCCTCAGCCTGGTCCTCGTGTCTCTTCCCAGATGCTAGTGGTGTTCAAGTCGGCCCCCATCTTGAAGCGGGCCTTGAAGGTGAAACAGGCCATGATGCAGCTCTACGTGCTGAAGCTGCTCAAGGTGCAAACCAAGTATCTGGGACGGCAGTGGCGGAAGAGCAACATGAAGACCATGTCCGCCATCTACCAGAAGGTGCGGCATCGGCTGAATGACGACTGGGCGTACGGCAACGGTAAGGCTCTGGCACAAGCTGGGCCGGGCCGGTGGGGGGGGGGGGGCCCGGGGGTGACAGCTTTCCAGAACCCCGAAGAATCTAGTTCCTGCTTTTGTGGCCTCAGGATAGGAGCTCCAGGAAGGACTTTGAGAGCTGCCTTGACTTGGTGCCTGTGATCATCCCCCAGTCCTCTCTTCCTCCCCCTGAACTAGTTCCTTTTCCAGAAACTCCCACAAGACGCTCTCCCATCTTTTCTCTCCTCACTACAACTGCGTTAGTTCTGGCCACTGAAATTCCCACAGAGCCTGATGGAAGGCTTCCTTGCCCCCAGTTTCTTCATCGGTGCCTCAAAGTGTGCCCCAGTGATCTTTTTAAAATTTTTTTTCTTTATTTTTGAGAGGCAGAGAGAGACAGAGCAAGAGTTGGGGAGGGGCAGAGAGAAACGGAGACACAGAATCCCAAGCAGGCTCCAGGCTCCGAGCTGTCAGCACAGAGCCCCATGCAGGGCCTGAACTCACAGACTGTGAGGTCATGCGTGACCTGAGCTGAAGTCGGATGTTCAACTGACTGAGCCACCGAGGCGCCCCGCCCCAGTGATCTTTTTAAAAAGCATATCCTGTGGGGCTAACTCCCCGAGTGAAATCCTTTGTTAGCTTCTGATTTCCCTTAGAATTTGAGCCACACTCTTAAGGCATGTGAGGCTTGCCCAGCCTCCCTTCCCCTCCTTCATAGTCTGATCCAGCTTCTCTCCAGCCCAGCCTCTGTCGCACACAGGGATCTTGGCACATTAACCACGTTGTCCCCCACTTTTCTTGCCCCTGGCAGGAAGCCTCCCTCATACGCCTCACTGTTCGGCATCTGTATGTGTCCCTCCCATCTGGGGGGCTCCCTCAGCCTCCAGGCAGAGTGGCTCTTCCCTGGCTTTCCTGAGTGTGCTGCCGCACCATACCATTCTAGCCCACAGCCGCATGTCCAGGTGACCACATCTGTACCCCGATGCCCTGAATTTGTGTAGACCCAGCGTGGCCCCCAGTCCCTGGTCAGGGAACTGAGGGAATGAGCAAATGAGGGAATCTGCAGTTTCCTGCCATTGATCTCAGAGAGCCAGGAGAGTGTAACTTTCAGAGAAGTATGTCATTCCATGGCTCTCCCTGGCTGGGTCCCCCTAAACTGCAGTGTGGCCCCTTTCCCTGTAGATCTGGCTTTTCTCTTTTTACCTGAGTTTCCTTTGTGTCTAAGGAAAAAGCCCTGTCAGTCTTCCTGAGGATAGAGATTGGAGGTCTCTGGCTCCCAGTTGACAGTCAACATTTCAGGCCAGGGCCAGCCTGGCCCCAAGCTCTAGTGAACCCAGGGGGAGCTGCCATGAGGGCTTGGCCCCTGAACGTGTCTTCCTGCTTTGTCTCAGATCTTGATGCACGGCCCTGGGACTTCCAGGCAGAGGAATGCGCCCTCCGTGCCAATATCGAACGCTTCAACGCCCGGCGGTATGACCGAGCCCATAGCAACCCGGACTTCCTACCTGTGGACAACTGCCTGCAGAGTGTCCTGGGCCAGCGGGTGGACCTCCCTGAGGACTTCCAGATGAACTACGACCTCTGGTTAGAAAGGGAGGTCTTCTCCAAGCCCATTTCCTGGGAGGAGCTGCTGCAGTGAGGCTCCTGGGCAGGGGACTGACTGCAAAGGAAAGAAGGGGTGATCTGGAGGGGCCCCAGGGGCTGTCCCAGTTCATTGCCGCAGTGCTCCCACCTCCCTCCAGGTGGCAGCACAGCCCCACTGTGCCCTCCCTAGGCCCCGCTGGGCTTGTGGGTGAGTCAGATTTGGCCCTTCATTCATTCCCAGCGTCCTGCTCAGAGCAGCGAGCTCTCTGCGTGGGATCCTATCTTCTTCACTCATCCCCACCCTCTTCTCTTGGACGTGGTCGGTTGCGGCTCATTTCTCAGTCAGCCCAAGGCTGGGAAAAGCCTAGATAGGCTGGGAAGCCATTGCATCTGAGTTGCAGGGGCCACACTGAGGCTCTTCCTGAGACACACACATCCTTGGAGTCTCAGCCGGCCGAGGAGGAGGGCTTAGCATTAGGCCAGGGTCAGAAAGTCGGAATTTTGGTTTTGCTTTGGGGGGTTTCTGATGTCACTCCAGCCTCCTGCTTTCGTCCCAAGGCAATTGCAGAGGCTCCTACAGCTGCCTCAGTACTTTGGTTTTGGACAGGGTTGGGGGGTAGGAACGGAAGCTGTCCTTAATCAGAGGTGCCATTTTTCCTCTTGGCTTGCAGGGGTCTGTAAATACCTATATATAAATCTCTGTGTATTCTCTTGTGTCACGTTGGGGTTTTTAACGTGTTTGTGTATTCTGTTTACATTAAAAGGAAGCAAAAATGACCCCCATTGCCTTGTCTGCAGGAAATACGGTCCCTGAGTATCTATGAGTCTAGAAAATGGGTTTTCCTGCCAGCATTGATAGGTCACCCACTTGTTCCCTGCCAGGCTGCCTGCCTTTGCCACCTGAGGGGGAGGTACTGGGGGAGTTGGCATTTATCCAGAGTCAATCTAGGATTGTTCCAGCCCAGCTCAGGGCTCTGGGCTGCTGAGGTGATAAGTTGTCCTGTACCCCTGTGTTTGATAGAGTTGCAGTAGGAGCCCCAGGCATCTCCGGATCGCTCTCCTGAGGGGGCCTCAGCCAAACCAGTTTCAGTGCTAGGGAGGAGGAGGGGCTAGGTCGGCTGCTCTGGGCCCTCGCAAGGGTAGGTGGTTGGGACTGAGAGGAAACTTCTTTGCCCAGAGCCTGGGGAAGCAGACCATCTGGAGTCAGCCTCACAGTGGGAAGGAGTGTGTCCGAGGGCCCAGGAGCCCACCTCACTGGGGGAAGAGGCAAGGACGATCTCCGGGAGGTGTCGGTTTGCAGACCCTGGAGCCTGCACCTGGCCTTGCGATCCTGGGCACGTCTGCTTCCACCTAGTTTGATCTTGAGGCTTTGTTTCTGATGCTTATGAAAGTACTGTTTCCTTTCCAGAGTGACTTAAAAGGTCCCTTGTCTTACCTTTAGGCCATGTGTACGGGATCTTAAGTCTCTTGACTTATATAGGAAATGTACTCTGGGGAAAATCTCCCTCCCGTGGGTTCTTCTGTTCAGTGCCTGCTTGGCCTGGGTTTTGACTGAGCCTCAGTGCAGGCCCCAAGCTGGGCTTCCAAGAGAAGCCTGATGTGCCAGCGTGGTTAGGAGCAGCAGAGGGGAAGCGAGCACTGTATTTTTTCTGTAAGTCACACAGCCTCTGAGGTAGGAATTCCCTGTGACTGATCGACTTTTTGCCCCTAAGCAACTTGCACAGGACAAGGGAGTTTGACCCAATTCGTGTGTGCATGATGCATTTTGTGCTGTTTCATGCCAGGACCAATAGGAAGTATGCATCGTGAGATTTTAGTTTGGGTAAGATAGATTTTCACATTCATACTCCACCAGGTAGCCTGGCTCACTGAGCCAGCTTGTCTGACAGCTTTGCTTCCTTCCCCTTTTTTGATTTCCCCATTCTCCTCTGAAGCTTCCCTTAACCAGAGTTGCCATTTTTTCCTCTTGCGTTGCAAAGGTCTATAAGTGTCTATATAAAAATTTGTGCAAAAAGAACACGGGATATCAAAGCTGCAAGGTCCATAAAACCCAGGTGTGTGGGAGGATCCACACATCTGTAGGCCCAGGGCCTGGCCTAGGAGAGTAAGAGCCTTATCACAGCTGCAGAATGTGCTAGTGGTAGATTGGCCTTTCAAATCCAAGCTTTTGTACAGAAATGTCTTTGGGAGCAAGTGGCCACCCACAATCTCTGGCTTCGTTTCTCATATGGGTCCTGAGACGGGCAAGGTATGTGAAGACCCTTTGTAAATGGTTGAGTTATATAAAATGTTGATTATTGCCAACCAGGCTCGAGGTCCAGTGCTCCTTCAATCCACTGAGGGATGAGTTACCCCGTGGCTTTATCACCTGAGGGAACTGTCCCCTGTTAATCAAGAGTTACCACTTACTGAGGGCCAGTTAGGTACCAGGCCCAATACTGATGCTTCTTGAAAGTTCATTTTCCACACAGGAGCTAGCAAATGTTTAGTGCTTACTATGTGCCGGTCACTACTCTGAGCACTTTATATGTAATAGCTTCTTGCTTATAATAACCCTGAAAAGTAGTACCATTATAGTGCTTATTTTGCACATGAGAAACTGGCACAGAAAGGATAAAGAACTTGCCCAAGGTCACAAAATAACGAGAGCCAGAGCCTGGATGCCAACCCAGGGCTCTGTTTGCAAAGCGTGTATGCCCCGTTCCCCACCCCTTCCACCGTGCCCTTTCTCTAATGAATCATTTTTATTCCCAAGCACCTACCACCAGTGCATTCATTTGCTCTTTTAGTCACTTTAGTCGGTACTTAGTATTTGCTCAAATACAGTCCTTGGCAAGAAGATTCTGGGCAAACATCAGCGAGGCCTTGGCCCGGCCTCTGGTATGTCCCACATGTGCCCCCGTCAAGGTAATTTGGGGGCTGTCGCTGCTACTTTCCTTTTCAGCCTGAACTTAAATGTCTTTCTCTCCTGGGCCCCAGAGGACTCGTGTGGCTGCCCCACCAGACCCGCTAGGCTTCTCTCCCAGGAGGCCGGCTTCCCGTCTGTCCCCTACTGAACTGCCTGCTCGGGGATGCAGTAGCTGTGCCATTCATTTGGCACTTGGCACGGCCAGCGTCAGGCTGCAGGCTCTCCCATTTACACACTAAAGGGCCTTGAGCTCCTCCAGCTCCAAGCCTCAGTTGGCTTATCTATAAAAATCAGTGTAAAAATAGCACGGTGGTCACGAATAAGACTACGGTAACAGAGACGTACATACCTGGCTGATGAGGAAGAGCACTGCTAACTAACGGCAGCTGTTAGTCCTGCTAATGGCCCTTCCCCCTCCAGCCGATGAGAATTTGCATCCATTTCCCGAGGCCCCTGGAAAGGAGACCCCCCTTCGAGGACCAGAACCATGTCTTAGGCCTCCTTATAGCCCTCATCCTGAGCTCACTGCTCTAGATAGAGGCGGCTTTCAAAATCAGCCACTCACCTAGCAATTCTGCCGTCATCCTTTGAAGGCCTCTCCTGGACCAGGCCTCGTTCCTGGTGCCCTGGGCATCCAGCTAAACAGAGTACCACACTCTCACTTTCCTTGACAAGCTCTCAGTCGATGGACAGATGGCTACAACAGCAAGTGAGAGCAGTAATGTGGTCGGCACCGAGGAGGACGTCTGCAGGGCCACATGGGTCCCCCTGGTCCCAGCCGGTGCCCTCCTGGAGAAGAGCCTGGGTGGGATGCCTGCCGTTGTCGATGGGGAAGGGAGGGGGCTCGGGCATCTGGGCTCTGAGAGCAGGTACTTTATGCTCATTGCCCCTGCTGAAATGGCTGGGATGAGCCTGGGGCGGGAGGGAGGTATGTGCTCCCTCTGCCTGAGACAGGAAATGCCCAGTTCTGGCAATGCTGGGCTCTGTTCCTGTCTGGGGCTGCAGAAGGTCTGCACTTCAGGGTTGTAATTCAGGTTGATGTGTAAATGCTTGGGGGGAGGTGGGGAAGGAAGATTGAATGCCTCTAATGAGAAGCATTTCCCCATGCCGGCCTGAGACCAGAAACCTGGACTGAAGGGCCTGCTAGCAGCTAGGGCTCTCCACTCTGGGCCTGGGGTCTGTGCCCTGGCCGGGATGAAGATTTAGGGCTTCTCTGGGTGGGCCTCACTGGGGCAGAGGAGCCCTAGCAAAGGGACACTGAGCCCAGCATCTCTTAAATTTGGGATTGCAGGTGGGGCCACTAACCATTTCCTTTTCCAGAAGGGGTGAGCATCGCCCCAACCTGGCTTTGGGGAAACCTGGGACCTAGGCTGAGGGCTGAGGTCACCTTTGGAGTGAGGCTGGGGGCAGGGGCGCCTGAAGACCTGGGCACTGTGTCTTAGGGGTGAGACGCCTAGGGTGTGGAGGAGGAGGGGAGGACGGGAGGACGGGAGGACGGCTAATGGGAAGCAGGTGGAAGGGCTGCCTGTGTCCCAGCCAGGGGACAGGCCGGCTGGGATGGCCCAGTCAGTGGGAGAAACCATCAGCTCACAGATAATCCCAGGGAACAGGCTCCGGGATGCCCATTCATATTCATTATGTGTGAAGTGGGCGGTTGTAAAGTTCGCTTTCTCTTCATTTAGCTGTCACTGGACAGAAAAATATGAGCTGTGGGCAGATGCCCCTGGATGAGAGCCAGTAGCTGGTCTCTGGCCTCCCTGTGCCCTCCCCCACCAGGGCCTCCCTCCCTCACGGTTCGCTTCCAGCCTCTGCCTGCCTCTCCCACTCTTGCTGCATGGATCTCTGGCTTGGCTTTACTGTCTTCTCTAGTCTGTCTCTTTCCCACTTCTGCTTCCTTTGCTTTCATAGATCCTTTCCTCTCTCCCCCACCCCCCACCGCCCCCAAGCTGTGTGAGAGAGGGAATTGTGTTTTTCTTGACCGTCATTCTGTCCCTGACACCCAGCACGATGCCTGGCACAGAGTGGGCCTTCAATAAATATCTGTAGCACAAACTAGTCTTTCTGCATCTCTGACTTTTTGACAACAGAACTCGAAATCTTGCTGGTCGCTCCTTGGGTGAAGAAACTTCTAGTGCAGGGCTCTTAGCCCTGAGTTAGAAATTTGGATTTGAGCCCCAGTTCACTATTGGCCAGCAGTACGAAGGGGGTTGTGTTCATCCGAGGTGCCGGGGCTGCCTCTCCCTACTGCTCGGGCTCTCAGGGCTCACACCTGGACCTCAGAGCCAGTGTCAGTACAGAGAGAAATCACCAGAAGCCAGGCCCTCAAGGGAGGGGAAGGAAGACTGGTTTCTTCTGGGCGATGCTTGAGCCTAGTCACGATGACAGTCTTGGCAGGAAAATCTGACCTGCTGGGGGACGTGCTCCCTCTTTGGGAATAAGCACAGCCCTGGTGTCTTTGTGTGCTTGGGCTTCTCTGTGCCTGGAAGAGGAGGCACGGGGCGGGGTGGCTGGGCTGCTGGCTGAGGCTGAGCTCCTCTGAGCAATGTGGTTGTGTTTACTGGGAGGGTGGGAGGCCAGGCCTGCTTTTTTCCTGCTTTCCCGGCTGTGGAGATAAGGCAGAAAGTGGGGGTGAAGGATAGAATGGCTAATACTCTGAAACCACAAGAAAGAGTCCTGGCTTTCGTCTCTGCCCCACAGCTCAGACTCGCTCCTGGGGCATCTGGGAGCAAGAGGCTGCCCCACCCCCATTGCTCTGGGGTTCTGGCCCAGGGGAGCTCAGAGCTCTCAGTGGGCCCCCATCTTTCATTCCACCTCCCTTCCGCTGCCAGTTCAGCCACAAGCTTATCTCCACTTTCCCACTGGCCTTCCGACCCTCAGGCCCGGATTGCCCCTTTCCCTTTTGACTCTAGAGTGGGGCTCTTCCTACCACCCGCACGCACTAGCTGAAGCCACAGAGGTCCTGGGTAGGTGACAAGGCCAGGCATGGCATGTATCAGCCTTGGGGGCTCTGCTGCAGCCTACCTTCCCGTAGCCCCCAGGATCCCTGCTGGCCCCTCAGGAGGGCCTGGCTGAGCCTGAACCCTGGGCACCGACCAGCTCTAGCGTGACCGAGTGCCAAACCCTGAGGATGCACAATCGCCTGGTCTAGGAAACACTTGCCATCTTTATTATCATGTTGGGCAGCACGCCCCTTTTTTTTTTTTTTTTTTTTAACCAAAGTCTGGGTTGAGATCTCAAGGGCTTCAAATCTGGAAATCTGTTTTATTCTTACCAACATCCAATGCGTAAACCAAGGAAGCCTGCTCTGGCCTGATTCCATAGAAGAGAATCCAAATTTCCATCCCCTTGGAGGGGAAGAGGACTCCATGGCATGTTGGGGGAGGGGCACAGGGCCAGAGCAAGGGATGTGGGATGGCTAGAGCAGAGGCTGCGGGCACCGTTTACACCGACTGGACTGCTGGCTTCTAGGCCCTCGTGAGCTCCAGACGCTGAGCGCTCGCCCCCTGGTGGCGGGAGGGGGAAGTAAGGCTGGCCCTAGATGGTCATGCAAGACTGGTTTCCCCTAAGTCACAAAGAGCTTCTTCTGGTTCAACCAGCATCCTCCTCCTTTTATTTTACTGTGTTCCCTGAATGAGGAGCCAATTCAGCCATTTCAGCTGGAGGGATGACAGTTAAATTTGGACAACATCTGAAGGAAGCAGGGCAGTGTCTTCCTCCAGCCCAGAGTTGGATGAAGGGACCTAATGTGTAATAGGAAGAATCCTACCTGCTTTGAACCCCACTTTCTCCTGGGCAGCTCCACCTTATTCTAAGAAAAAAAAAACAAAAAAACAAAAAAACTCTAGCTTATTCCCTGCGGGAGGCTGAGGATCCCAGCTGCTCTGCCTGGGCCTCCGAGAACCATCTGGGGTTTGGAGGCAGAGGTGTGTCCTCTCTGACATCCAGGCTGGGGTGGGGTGGGAGCAGCTGGGAACAGAGAAGGGGATGGGCAGCTTAGTCTGTATGTCCATGCAACCAATCACGTGGTCCAGTTCAGTAGGCTGGGTGGCTCCTTGGATTTCACCCTGAGCGAGATGAGGCTTGGAGACTTATAGTCGCCATCTGGGGCAGACTCAAAGCTGTGGGCCCCCAGGGCAGGGGAAAAGCCGTGGATGGAGTAGATGCCAGGATGGGCTCCGGGGGAGGCCGGCACCCCCATGAAGCCGGCCACATTCCCATGAGTGTGGGAGTATGGAGACATGCACGGAGAGGGCATGCCCTCCGGAGACACGAGGCAGGGTCCCGCGGGGCTCCCAGACCCTGGACTGGGCCACAGGGAGTTCTGCAGCTGAAAAGAGAAGGAGGCCCATGAGTTAGTAACCCAGGGGCTGCCACCCTCACCTAAGGGTTCTGTCTTTGC